TAGAAGCCGAAGCTTTGGGAGCTGGGCTCTCACGGCCCAGGCCAGGTTAGCAACTGAGACCTCTGCTGCCTGTGAATCACTAAGGGAGCTAGGACAGCCTCAACCTAAGTCTCCTGAACACACTCCCTGAATTCAATGGGAAGCAGAGTATCTCCAGTGGCCCACCTCTCCTAATAGCCAGAAACAAGTAGACCCATCTTTGTGGTGGATGGTAAAGTTTTCTGGAACATTTCTCCTTTTGAGAGAAGTGTTTTCATCTACTCCACTCCTTCTGAGTGAAATTTCAGCACTCATTTTAAATTTCCTCTTTGCCTTCTATTCTCTTTACAAGGAAAACCAGGCCTACTAAAGTTTCTCATTAAAGTCTCTTACTGTGACATAAATGATGCTTGCAGGAAGGTGGGAATGCAAGTGTCGATAGCTATGCTGGACTTAGTAGAGCTGCTGCCTTTAAATTACCTATTTCATTTGTTTTATTGGCCGTGGGAGTTGGCCTTGTGCCTGCTGACTCATTTTAGCAATGTGCAAGAAATGCCACTGTTTACTACCTCTGTTTGGTCTCTTCTTTTTCAACTCTGCTGAGTCCATAATTTCTTTCTCATCTTGGACACCTTGCCAGCTCCTCACTGCCTATAACCTTTCTACCCAATACTTGGTAAAAAAGGTACTCCTTATGGGTTGTAACTAATGATGTTGGTTCTTCCTGAAAAGTATTTATTGAGTATCAATTTCTGTGTATGTACAATAATTGTGATTAAGGAAAGCAAACTCATTAAGCAAAAAACCCAAAAACGATGTAGGTCTGTTTTATGATGTCAAGGATGCACCGCTTCCCAAGGCCCTGCCAACTTTCCACATTTTCCATGGAGGTGTGAAATGCCACGTAGAGGATGAGGTGGTTACCATGGCTCCGACCAGGGAAATAGTTATGTTTCTTGGCCAAATGCCATATAGGCCCTTTATTCCAAGCAGTAGTGGGCCAAAGTCTCAGGTAGGGTTTCCTAAATTTACAAATCTGGCTACTCGCCATTCCCTAGAGGGGCTGAGAGATGCCCACCCCTGGTATACCTCTACCAATGTGCCTTGCAGAAATCCCTCCCCTCTCCTGGCAAAAAGGCCCACTGCATTCCAGAACAAGAATTAATATACTTTCCAAAGAGAGGACTCATGAAATAAACAGGAGACCAGGCCTCCTACCTGGGAAAGGAGCACGACAGTAATGAGCCCTGCCTGCGGAGGGACGGCCTGAGTTTGAGGAGTGGGGACCAGATACCTCATGTATGCGTAGTGTAGAACTTAGTGTCAAAATATGCAGACTTCCAAGTTACAGGAAGCCTAATCACAAGGGCAGCATTCTGAAACAGCAAGCAGCTATTCTTAACCATTATGTGGGTTTCAGATTCCTTTGAGATACCTAACCCGGAAAGAAAATATGTACAGACACAAAATTTTACAAATAACCTTAAGGAGCTCATAGGTCACCTTGGCCCTGTGTGAAGATCTCTGCTTTCTATGATGGTCCAGGACAAAGGCCAAAATGCTTTAGTTTAACTTGCGTTAAAGACTTTTTTTTTTCCCTTCTGGAGCCCTGTTGTAACCTTGTTCTGCAAAAAGACTGCAACGAGAGCCTACTCAGCACTCTCAGCAGATAATTTTTAATTCAGTCTTCGTGAAATGATTCTAAATGTAAAACAGTGTTCAAATGCTATAGTCATTTGCTTTTTCATGATCCTAATGTCTTTTGGTTGTGAAAATAAGACAGTCATGTTAATACAAACTTAGGCACTGCAAAAGAGATAGAGACAGATACAGGTGCTTGGCGGGAAAGCAGGAAGTGGTCACAGACTATAAAGCATGCTCTGGAAAAAGGGACATTTTTATTTAGTGCTTTCCTTATTTGACAGGTAAAACCTTTGCCGTTTTAGAGAATTCAGATAGAATGAGGCTGTGCTGCTTTAGTTAAAAATGGAAATGAAGTCTATACAGTCTTTTGGTTTACTGTTCACTCATTTTCATGTGTGGGAGGCTAGAGTGAACCATGTGGAAATGTTTTGAGGGGCTGCTATGTTCCAGGCCGTGCGCTAGGACCTTCGCACATGTGGCTCCTAAACCTCGCTTTCCTCGGCTGTGCGATGTTATACTGATCCATTCCCTCCAGTTTTGAGGAATGGGGAAACCAAAAAACAACGCTACCCCTTGGCTTCATTGTTCATTTAGTTGTTTTTAAGTTGTCTATCATCCTTTCACTTTTTCATCGAGAGGAATTTTGTGGTTTATCTGAATCTGTGTTCCCCTGTATTCACTATCATTTCCAGGAACTAGAACTAGGGCTAGGCGTTTGTTACCAGTTACACTACAGAGACAAAGCATTCCTAGTATTTGTCAAAACTAGACAATCTAAGGTTAAACAGTTTCTTCCCGGCCCCAGCACACTCTGACCTTGTCTGTCCCCCGTTGTCCCTTTGTCCGCTCCAGTCACACTGGCTGCTTTCTGAATTCCCCTCAACGAGGCACCCCATCTCAGGACCTGGGTTCCTTTCCCTTGATTCTTTGCTTAGACAGGTACTTCTCGTCATTACTTTCACCTGTTCAAATGTCACCTAGCAGAGACATACTGAGCTCACTATACACCTAAGATAGCTCCTTCTAGTCATTAACACATCTCCTTATTGTGTTTCCTTTGTAGAATTTATGACTGTCTAAAATTATATATTTTTCCATATATTTTCTGTCTTCTCCCCTAAAATGCAAACTGCATGAGAGCAAAGACCTCGTTGGGGATCCAGTAATAAAAAATGTCTGTTAGGCATGAGGTGTCAACAATGGCATGCTGGATGAATGGGCTTTTGTCTCACACTGAGATTCCACGAGGAAAACCAGGGGTTCTGATTTGTGAACTAATAACTAATTCGTTCAAGTGCCTTACACGTATTAACTAATTTAAATCCTACAACCCTATGAGGTAGGTATTATTATTAGATCCTTTCTATAGATGCAGAAATTGTGGTGCAGGGAGATGAAGGAATTTTCACGAGGCTGCATAGAGAGTAGGCTTGGAAGCAGGTCTTTGAGCCAGTGCTCTTTACTGCCTCATAGAAAGTGCTCAATAAATGCAGCTTTAACCACGTGTGCAGCAGTTGGCTGAGGGCTTTTTCCTCATGGTGTCACTTAGTCCTCACTTCTGCACGGAGGTAGGTGCTGTCCTTATGCCTCTTCTACAGATGGGGAAGCTGAGGCCTGGAGAGCTTTAAGCAACTTGTCCCAGGTCCCATAATTGCTTAGACTTGAATGTAGATGATATGAAATTTATGCTGTTAGGCATCATCTCTATATTATAAGAACACGTTGGATTGCTTCTGGAACACGGTCATTTTGAAGTTTGCGAAGAAGGGATTAGTCCGACCCCCAACTCAAAGGGTCTTCACTTGTTCAAAGAAAGGGCATCCATTACTTGGCCACAGATTCATAATGCATAGAGAACGGTGCAACTCAGAGAAGTGAGTAGGAGAAAAAGAATTTGTATCAGTGTAACTGCTTGTCTGTAAGATATGAAAGTTTGTTAAACGTGTGTTTCTTTGGAAAGAGCATAGGAACAGGATTTAGAAATCTGATAACTGTGAAAGGTCAATTTTAGTTTCTAAAATGTACCAGGGTAGAATTATGTATATATTTATCTGTCATCATGTCCAATTCTATACTGAACTAAAAGTCTAGAGTTTAGCACTACTGTTTTGTGAAACTTACCAGATTATCTTCCCCGAGTACTTCCTTAGTGACTTGGAATGAAACGATGACATAACTACACTTTATCCAACAATCACTTCCATGTACATGAGTTTGCATTTTTAGCCATGTATGCAAAACTGATTATACTCACAACTCGGGAGGGGGAAGAAAACTCTAGAACCCACGCATTATTATGCTGGTTTGAAACAAAATATCCATGTGAAGGATTGTGCTCATGTATGTGGAGATCATGGTTTTTCTTTGAAAAACTCCCTAAACCCACTGAAACCAGTTGATTCAGCAGGAAGAAAATGAGTTCAGCCAATGTCATGAGCTCTAAGATTCCAGCATTTTCACAGAACTGGTATTACAAGTGCTTTTACACACATGGTCCTCTGTGATTCTGCCTGAGCCTGTGTTTGATGTTCACAATTCCCCAAGCTTGTGGGCAGGGCAGGGTGATGTTATTAAGCCACTTTACAGATGAGGAAATTGAGGCTAATAGGTTTAAAGAGCTTGCCCGAGGTCAGGTGGCTAATAAATAGCAGAGCCAGCACCTGAACCAAAGTCTTTGGACTCCAAGTTACATGTGTTTCCTGCTGCTCACACCTCCCCCTTGCCAGAGAGAGCCTGTCAGTGGTGCTAATCCAGGTTCTGAGCATCAGTCCTGGAGATTGCCTTACTGTCATGTGTGCTTCTAGAGGGGAGACTCTGTTGACCTTAAGAAATACTATATGTTACTCGGGGCTTTGAGCAGGTTTTTATTTCTCAGCCTCATTGCCCTTTTACCCATTGCCCTTCCTAATGCTGCTGCAACTTTTATTGTTTCTTCCAGGTTTTGAAAGAGTTGCAAAATTTATCGAACATAAGTAAGAGTCTATTCAAGAAATGGAATTGACAGATAGGTGGTTCGGTAACTTCAGCTGAACTAGCCTCCGAACCGTGGTTGTTAAGCGATGAGGTGATTCAGCAGGGAGTGGGCCAGCCTGGATCAGTGATGGACTGGGGGTCGGGGCGGAACGCAGCCAGGCCAGTCCTCCACTTGTTCTCCTGGAACCCAAAAGACCACTCAGGGGCCTGGCCAGCAGAAGGCAGTACTTGCTTAACTTTCATCTAATCAGAAAGAATACAGTTCACACACAGGCGCTGGCCCTATAGAACAAATAGATGGTCGAATATATTTGAATAATCAAGCTTTCCAAAGAGAAGCAAAACATACTCCTACTCACATGTAAAATGCAAATAAACTCAACCAGTCTCTTTTTTCATTATAGACATAGAGGTTTTGGACTGTCCCATACCCAGGGTCAGGATGCTGCCCCGCGGTCATGCTCTGGCGGTAGCAGTTGTCCAGATCTTTATCTTCTCAGAAAACCGAGTATTGGCCAAGAACATCAACTTCTATAACGTGAGGCCTCCTCTTGACCGTAAGTAGTGGTTACCACCATCGTAGTTCATGACTGTGGGATCAGAGTGAGCGTTTGAAGACCCTGTTTCCACCTATAGTAACTCTGCCTTTTCTGGAAAACTTGGTTTATACCTAGAATAAGATAGAAAATCTTCACTACCTCCGAAATTCTCTCCATTTTTTAAAAATGATTTGGCTTCCTGCTGAAGTCTCAAAAGGGTTCTTGTTTAAAATAATCTTTTGAATACCGTCCCTGAGAATGTCTTAGCAGAGGCAATTCAGTGTTCTTTGTTCATCTCTTCATTGGAAAAGTATATTGGCTGTAGGAAGTTTCTGCATCAATGATATATTCTTTCAATGGCCATTAACAGTTTTGAAAACAGACTAGCAAGTATAAAATTTGGAAGCAAATACACCTGGATTTTCATTAATATTGTGCGCAGGTCGCAAAGGCTGTAAACACTCAACTTTCCCACTAGAAATTTAAAAATAAATAGTGTGCATTATTTATAGGATAATATATTTATATATTTCATATACATATATGTGTATATATGTGCTTGTGTACATATATCATCTCCCCTCCTTTCTCTCTCTTCAGGCAGGTAAAACTTGAGGTTGGTATAGATAAAAATTGGTAGAAGTGCGAATACCTCTGGTTCCCACACCTGGAAGAATGTCAGAATTATGATAAATACTTTTAAAATGACACATTCCTGGGTCCCTTCCCCAGAGATTCTGAGTCAGGATGGTGGGATACAAATTATGTTTTTCTCCTCCCCCCCTTTCTTTTAAAAAAAGCCCTTCTGATACTATTGATACACAGCCGGTTTGGGGAACCACAGTCTTTATACTGTTCCATTAAATGGAGTCTGTATCATTATTGTTCTTCACTTTGTACTTATTATTTAGGACATTCAGTGAGTATGTGGGTGCGCTTGTCCGTATCTGCATTTGTGTCACATACACACGTATACACATGTATACCACACACACCTTGAACTATCATGTTTTATACACTTCTAAATCGGTAATGATTGTATACTGATAGTTTAGTGGTAAGCACACAGTTTTCATAAAAGATACATTATTGAAAAATTTCAAACTTTTTAAGACTAATACAATTTTATCATGAGAACAAACATTTTAAAAAAGTGAAAAAGATTTATTTTAATTAAAATATGTATTTTAAATGACAGAGCACACATAATTGGAACACTCATGGATGCAGAAAGTGGACTAGTGGTTGTCAAAGGTGAGGGGCGTTGGGGGACTGGGTAAAAGAGGTGAAGGAATTTAGAAGTACAAATTGGTAGTTACAAAACAGTCCTGGAATGTAAAGTACAGCATAGGGAATATAGTCAGTAATGTTGTAATAGCTATGTATGGTGCCAGGTGAAATATTGGGGGAACACTTTGTAAAGTATATGATTATCAAACCATTATGCTGTACACCTGAAACCAATACAAAATAATATTGGAAGTAAACTAACTGAAAAAGAAAAATACATATTTTTAAGAAGTACAAATTGCCAGTTTTAAATAAAAATAGTCACAGGGATGTAAAACACAGCACAGGGATTATAGTCAATAATATTCTAATAACTATATATGATGTCAGATGGGTATGAGGCTATCAGGGTGATCATTTCATAAGTTAAATAGTGTGTAATCACTATGTTGTACATCTGAAAAGAATATAATAGTGTATGTCAACAATAACTCAAAAATAATTTTAAAAAATCTTTTAAAAAGAGAAAAACAATAATGTTTGCTCATTATAGAAAATTCCAAAGAGACAGGAAATGTATTGAAGAAAAGAAAATTTATTCATAACCCCAAGATTCAGAGCGAGCTCTTCTTTACATTTGGAAATATTTCCTTCCACTGTTTTTTCTGTGTATGTGCACGCAAACATGTGATGTACTGAGATCGCACAAATTTGATTTTGCACCAGTTTTTCTGCCATTATCCTATATTTTAAATGATGTTCCATGTCTCGGAAAGTATTTTAATGCCTTTTACAGTCAAATTTTTAAAAGTCGTATGGCTGGTCTATAGTTTATGTAACCAGTTTCCCAATTATTACCCACATATGTACACATACACACACACATGCACACAGTCACAAGCAAGCTAAATGTTAATGCCTCATTAAAAACTTTGTAGATGAATTTCTCTTTTTATTTGACTAATGGCCTTATTAAATCAAAAAGTTGTACCGATTAATACTTTATTTATCCACCAGCATTAAGTATTAGTATTTTTTAGATTAAAACTATTTTTTCAATTAAATAAAACTGTTTTTTCAATTACAATATTATATCGGTTTCAGGGGTACAACATAATGATTAGACATTTATATAAGTTATGAAGTGACCCTCCAATAAGCCTAGTACCCATCTGACAACATACACAGTTGTTATGATATTACTAACTATATTCTGTGCGCTCTACTTTATATCCCTGTGACTTTTTATAATTAGCAATTTGTACTTCTCAACACTTTCACTTTTTTACCCTAAGTATTAGTATTTTAAAAACCATACTGATTTAATAGGTGAAAATGGATCTCATTAGTTTTCTTTTTTTACCTGCCTAATTCACTTTTATGCATAGGCAAAACTGAAATGCATTCGGAATGCTTAATTTCGTGTTCTCTGAACTCTGACTTTTGGTATTTTGCGCTTGCATTATGCACTGATATTTACCCTCCCCTGTCCCCACAATACCCACTGCTTCCTAGTTATCATCTCGACGTGTGGTCAGGTTACTAGGATGGATTGGGGTTCACTTCGTCTTTGTTTCATTTTTTTAAAAATGAAAGAATTGAAAGTTTTACCCTGAGCTTTATACACTGGCCCATAGAAGAATGTCAAACTTACTGTATTTTTTTTTATTTTTTACCCATTAAAATAAGAAGATAAAAGGTAGGGAAAAAAGCATAGAGACAAAAAAAAAAAAAAAAAAAAAAGAACATTCTAGTTGCTCTCAAACCAGACTGCCAAAAGCTCCTAATTCCTCCCTGGCCTGAGCATAAGGACCTGAGAAATACTGTCATCCTTATGTTAAATGTTACATTCCAAGTTGAGGTCTATTGTGATAGTTGACATATATCAACTGAGATTTTTTGGTTGAGGTTAAATGTAGTTGTAATGGTAGCACATGTGGATGGAAACCAGAATGATTTGATATCCCAGGGACTCTACTAGATATTTTTTCTTGCAAACGCCTGCTTAATCTTCACTGTATCTCTGCAAGTCATGGGGATCTTCATTGTTACTATTATTATACATATTATTATTTCTTCGAAGTTAAAAATCGTACAACTGATTAGTGGGAAGGTTAGAGTTCAAGCTCAGCTTAATCTGACTCCAGTTCCTCTCAGGGACAATACGATATCACATTTTTGGTTGCAATGCTGCCACCTCCACCCTTACCCATCCCCTCAACCCCCATTTATCCCTAGGTCATAAATTATAATAGAACAATACCATAAATATTTCAAAGTGGCTTGTGGAATGATTTCTTTACTCTGTGGAAAGTATTCGTAGATGAAGTATTTAAAGAAAAGGGAATAAATAAATTGTCCCAAAGTCTGGCAGTTAAGTCTAGCCCCTTAGAAACAGAAATTTTAAGGGCAATGGCTTGTAAATTTTGTTTGACCTAATGAAAGTTGCTAATTTATGCCATATTTGATGTTAAAAAGTTTTGTCTTTTCACTGTGCATCTTTTATTTTAAAGCGACACCATTTCCAAACAGCTTCAAGTGTTTTACCTGTGAAAATGCAGGGGATAATTATAACTGCAATCGATGGGCAGAAGACAAATGGTGTCCACAAAGTAAGTGCGCTGAGTTTGGAAGACTCCTTTGGGATCACTCCTCATTTAGGTGTCTCTTGACAAACCAACAGGCTGATGACATTCTCTAGAAATCAGAGATTGCTTTTAAGAGACTGTCCTGACATCTGACTACTCTGGGAACACTTGGAAACTGATGGTGTAGCCTCAGTTTGTAGTTTTGTCTTCCCTGAGGAAGGATCTATTAAATAGTATTTCTGGGAGAAAAAATAGACCCCATGTTGACTAAGGCATTCCAAGAATTTCAGAAATGATGATACCTCAAGTTTCAAAAGTCATACTTACTGGCTAAACTAAGGGAAGTGTTTTGTACTCTTGAGCTGTATTGATGCTTAGGAAACTCTTTCATTCATCTGACAGACATTTGAGTATATTTTTAGTTTGTTCAGTTCACTGATATCCAGTGCTTGGCCCATATTTGGCACACAGTAAATATTTCTTGAAAGAATGAATGGATACCTTTGGTTAGGTAGTCAGGGAAATCTTCCCTGAAGAATGTGCATTTGAAAGAAGACTGGAAGGACCCAAACAAGCCTGCTACATGGCGATCTGGGGGAATAGCATGCTAATAAGAGGGAACAGCAAATGCAAAGGCTACATGAGGCAAGATTTGGCCTCTTCAGTAAATAGGGAGAAGGCTGCCCAGTGAGGCTTAGTGGGAGATGGAGAAAAAGTCTCTTGAAGCTAAGGACCGGAGCACACAGGACCTTTTCCTTTTATGTAAATGTGATGGGAAGGCTGTAGAGGGGTTTTAAACTATGGAATATAAGGTACTAGTTGTGTTCTAAAATACTGCTCTGGCTGCTGTGTGGAGAAGGAATGGTTGGGGACAAGAGCAGAACGGGATATCAAGTAGGATCTTTCATCTTTAGGCAGAGAGGGTGGTGGCTTGGACTAGGCTGGTAGGAGTGGAGGGGGAGAGAGGCTGAATGATTTAATGTACACAAACATGGAGGCAAGGCAGACAGGGTGTGATGATGGGTGATTTGGGATTGTGAAGCTACTTTCAGCCATATGGATCAGATGATTCCGATTTTAGAAATACTGTTTTTTAGGTTTTCAGGCATAAAAGGCCAAGAAAAACAAAAACTCTTCCAGAGTTAGGGATTACTAGTTTTGGTTTACTACTGCCTTCAATCTTTTGGAAATTTCTGTATCATGCTACAAAGAGCAGTTAGATAGTGTCTACTCTTCCAGACAAGGCCAGCGTGTGGAGCCAAGCAGTATACCCTGAAGACCTGCACTGGGCTTGAGAATCTCATGCCATAAATGAGCACAAGTGGTTGTGATATCTACTCAGACAGTATTTTTCCTTATTTCTGTTCAAGAGTAATTAAGTACCAAAATATTTTTTCCTGTGGGTTTTTATTTTCCATTTCTATAGAGCAATTGACTTAAATGGCATGTGTGCTTGTGAATGAATGCGTGTGCACACGTGAGTGTATTCATTGGAGGACTTGTTTTCCCATTTTTTACAGAAATTTTTCTTAATAATTACAGAGTTTTTGAGGATGGCTGATGCTTCTCTTTACAACTGCATTTCCAAGGGTGGTATTATTCTTTAACTATTTGCTTGAAATTCTCCTGAACACTGGGCAGTATGGGTTGGAACAGTAGTGAAATGGGGCATTGATGTCTATCTTGTGCCTCAACTTCATGGAAAATGTGAATTGTACTGAAAAAGTTCCTACTAGGTCTGTGCATAATGCTCCAATTTAATTAATCAAAGCCATTTTCAGTGGGATCATGTATGTGAGTATTTGTGGGTTTTAGAATTTCATCTGTTGAAACATGTGAGCAAAAGGGGTAAGCTTCCACTTTCCACCACTGAGAAGACGTCAGGGATTGGAGGGTGAAGACAGTCAGCTCTTCCACTGGGAAAGCCTGGGAGTGGCGTGGGACGGCCCCCTCCAGCACGCATGCCTGTACATTCTTGACTGTACACCAGTCGGGCCCCCAGGACACTAACCACCTGGAATTCCAACTGAGGGTATAATTTCTTAGTTTTCAGTTTGTCATTATTTAGGGAAATGATAGTCAACCATTTCTTGAGGCCAGCAGGCCTGCAGCTATTGTTCGTTGTCATCTCAGGTTTCCTTTTTACCTTTTAACTTTCCTTCCATGGTTTGTTGGTGTTGTTAAAAGAAGTTCTCTGTGTAACAGGATATGACAAGAATGACATTTCTTATTGTATTTACCTTGGGTTTTATTCTGACTTTATAGGGCTACTTTCGCACATGTGACATTGTGTATGAGCCCATGCAGCTACTAGCTATTAGTTTGTCATTGTCTGGAGTAAGTTGAAATGCTTTTCCAAAATATTTGGTGGTTCCCTTTCCTTGTGAATCCAGAATGCCGCTACTATTGTAGAGCGTGTTACAGCACCGTCTAGTTTAACATTAAGTACACTAAGAGTCCGGATAGTGTCTGCTTAAGAGCACAAACCTTGGAAAACTGCCTACGTTAGAATCCTGCCTCCCACCACTTTGTACCTATGTGACTGTGGACAGGAAACTGTGCTTCAGTTTTTCAAAAATCTCTAACATGAGGATATTAATATGACTTATCTCAAGACTTATTATAAGGATTGAGTGAGTAAATTACATGTTAGAAGAGTACTTGGCAGGTGGTACCCACTCCGTATGTATTTACTATTGTTATTATCAGTTAAAGCTTACGACAGCCCTATCAAAATGCTAAAGCACTTATTATGATAATTTTACTAAAAAGGAAATGAACCCAAAGCAATCCACATATTCAATGCAATGCCTATCAAAATCCCAATGGCATTTCCACAGAAATGGAACAAAAAAAATCCTCACTTTTGTATGGAGCTACAAAAGACTCTGAGTAGCCAAAGCAATTCCGAGGAAAAAGAACAAAGCCAGAGGTATAACATTACCTGATTTCAAACTATACTAGAAAGCTATAGTAATCAAAATAGTGTAGTATTGACGAAAAACAAAAACCAAAAAAACTCCCCCAAAACCGAGACATATAGACCAATGGAACAAAATTGAAAGTCCCAACATAAACCCACATATAGGTGGGCTAATAGTTTACAACAAAGGAAACAAGGATACATATTGGAGGAAGGAAAGTCTTTTTCAATAAATGATACTGGGAAAACTGGACCCCATATTACAACATACACAAAAATTAACTCAAAACAAAGTAAAGACTTGAATGCAAGACATGAAACAATAAAATACATAGAAGAAAAATTAAGCTTCTAGACATTGGGCTCAGTGGCATTTTTTCCAAATTTAATTCCAAAGGCAAGGAAAACAGAAGCAAAAATAAAAAAAAATGGGACTATATCAAATTAAAAAGCTTCTGCACAACAAAGGAAACCATCAACAAAGCAAAGAGGCAATAAACCAAGTGGGAGAAGATAGTCGTTCATGATACTTCCTGCAAGGGGTCAATATCCAAAATATATAAAGAACTCATACAACACAACAACAACAACAAAAACCAATCTGATTTAAAAATGGGCAGAGGATCTGAATAGACTCTTTTCTCAAGAAAACACAAAAATGGCCAGAAGATAAATGAAAAGATACTCAACTTCACTAGCTATTAGGGAAATGAAAATCTAAATCACAATGAGATACCACCTCACACCTGTCAGAATGGCTATTAGCAGTAAGACAAGAAATCACAAGTTGGAGAGGCTGTGGAGAAAAAGGAACCCTCAGTCACTGCTTGGAGGAATGTAAACTGGTACAGCCACTATGGAAAACAGTATGGAGGCTCCTCAGAAAATTAAGAATAGAGTTATCATATGATCCAGTAATCCTCTTCTAGATATTCACCTGAAGAATATGAAAATGCTAACTCTTAAAGATATATGTAACCCTATGTTCATTATGGCATTATTACAATAGCCAAGCTATGGAAGCAACTAGGTGTCCACTGATGGAAAGAAGTATGGTACAAATATACAATGGAAAACTACTCAGCCGTAAAGAAGATGAAATATTGCCATTTGCAACAACCTAGATGGATCTTGATGGTATTGTACTAAGTGAAATGAATCAGGTGGAAAAGGACAAAAAAACATGATTTCATTCATATATGAAATGTAAAACCAACAAGTAACAAAGGAGCTAACAAAACAAAACAAAGAAAAAGTAATAGATACAACAGACGGGTGGTTACTAGAGGAGAAAGAGGTGAGGACAAATTGGGAAAGGAGTCAAATATATGATAATGGAAAGAAACTAGACTTTTGGTGGTGGGTGTGCAGTAGAGTACACAGACATTGAGTTATAATCTTGTGCACCTGAAATTTATATAATGTGATGAACCAATAATACCTCAATAAATTGTTTAAAATAATAGTAAAAATAAATAAAAAGAAAATGACCACAAAGGATCTAATGTGGCTTGCTTGCTTATGACAAAGGCAATTTCATGTCAAGTATTCTCAACTTTAGTCAAATTTTTTCTCCATTCTATGACATTGCTCCTGTAGTTCCTTCTCAATTAACTAAAAAGCATTTTATTGCCCTGACATAACTATAGAAGAGTTACAGAACTAAAGCAGAATGTTCTGGGATATTGAATGAAATCACTTTCTTTAAAGAACCCTAAGTAATAAAATGTGAGTCATAAAATTAAAGCTAGCCACTCCATGTAGAAAAGTGTTAGCTATATAGTAATTGAACAACAATAAAAAGATAAAAGTGTTAGCTATAAAGAGGGGGAAGGGGGCAGGGAAAGAAAGAGTCAATTGAAGAAGAGGAGAGAAATAGAAGTACTTTGAATAAGGAAGGTGGTCTTGATGTGTACTTTGAAGCATCTGCTTTTCATTCCACATGGCCTATTAATGTTCAAGAAACAAATGTTGAGTAATGCTACAAAGCATGTTATGACCCACTGCATTTTAAATTAACAGCTTTTTCATTTTAGTTTAGAGTTATGGAACATGTGCTTCAGAGGGTGATGAGACAGGCAGGGACACTAACACTTTTGTGTGAAATGGGCAAACCTGTATTTTTGTTGAGACGCTTGTCCAATTTTTTCTCAGCTTTAGCTGACACAAAGGTTAGGTGCCCATTTTTATTCATTTCTTTTCTTTTTTTCGTCCTTACCCAAGAAAATATATATATATATGTGTGTGTATACACACACACACACACATATATATATATATATATATATATACACACACACACACACACACACTGATTTTAGAGAAAAAGGAAGGGAGAGAGAGAGAAAGAGAGAGAGAAATATCGATGTGAGAGAGAAACGTCGATCAGTTGCCTCCCATGCGTGCTCCAACTGGGGATTGAACCTGCCACCTTTTTGTGTACGAGAAGATGCTCTGACCAACTGAGCAAACCAATCAGGGCTATATTCATTTTTATAATACATACGTGCTTCATAAACTAATGCCTTTTCAAAAATACCACCTAGAAACTGTTGAGTTCTCTGCCACTGTATTTCTGGCCTACATACCTAAGGATCATCCTGAATTTTAATCATTTCTGAAATGATTGTTGAGAGTTTCTCTATTACAATGCAAAAAATGAAGTTGCTTTTTCTTCTCCTCCTGCCTAGATACACAATACTGTTTGACAGTGCATCACTTTACCAGTCATGGAAGAAGTACATCAATCACCAAAAAGTGTGCCTCCAGAAGTGAATGTCATTTTGTTGGCTGCCACCACAGCCGAGATTCTGAACATACAGTAAGGAGCGTGTGTGTGAGTGTGTGTGTGTGTGTGTGTGTGTGTGTGTGTGTGTGTGTGTGTGTAAAGTTAATGTTCTAAGGCTTCTTGTTAGTGATAGTCATATGTTATGGAGAGGCAGGAAGGATAAATAATATGTTGAATATATTTATTCTGTAAGGAAAGACTTCTTTACAGTGATGCAATGGAGACCAAAGAGAAGTTTCAGACTTTCTGTTCTTCCACAAATTTACCAAAAATTGAAATATAGTTCCTAGACTCCAGAGCTAGACCCCAGACCTTGGACTTTGAGTGAATTGTCTGAAGTCAGTCCCGGAAGCCCAAGAATAAACCCTCCATGAGGTAATGACAAGTGCTACAAAGCTCAGCTCACTTATTTTGTGTCTGGCCAGAAATCAGCAAGAACACTGCACAGGGAACCTGGTCGGTGGAAAGAGGAAAACGGTGGCAGCTTTTACTAAGGAGACCTTGTCTCACCCACTACCTCTGCTTAGATGAGGAAGTGAGTCTGAAAGATTAACCTCAGTTTCATATGATGAGCTATAGATACATTTTAGATCAATAGATCTCTTCAATTTTCTCATTTTATCATTCTAAATGAGCATTTTACTCTTTTATATGTCTGGAATCCTGAAATGTTTGAGAAAAAATTACTTGAAAGCGTGTTAATTTCATGAGGTTTTAGAATCTAATTTAGCCTAGAGGTACAGAAAATGGTTCTGATGCCAGTGGCTTCTAGCCCTGGCTGCACAGGCGAATCTCCTGAGGAGCTTTTATAAGCCATGTTGCTGGTGGTTTGGGGGCTTCCCCAGCCAATAGAAAGAGATCTTCAGGTTGGGGTCCCGGGCATCAGGATTTCTTTTGCTGTTCCCCAAGGAGTCACTGATGTGCAGCCTGGGTTGAAAACCACTGATAAAAGATATTTAAGAGTCACTGCCTTTATCTTACCTATCCATCCTGGAAGCCTCTATGAATGGCTAGGAGTATCAGGTCAAGGCATTTTTACCAGGTATTATGACAGGAGATGGCTTCCCCTGAGAACACTTCATGCTATGTGTGAACAAGCATTTTTCACCACTCAACAGCCATAATTAGCAAGCCATTGCTGTTGTAATGATAGTAATCAGGCGTTGGTACAGACAATAGAGAGAAAGAAAGTCAATGACCAATCCGAGATGTTCCTAGCTTTCATTTTTATTTCAGTGTTTTTCCTTACAAGCCTTTAGAAGATTTATTGACCCAATCAAACAGTATTATTGAGTATTTTTTCCTCTTATTTCCCTTGCTTGTGCTTGGGTTGATACAGATAGATCACAGTTAAAAAGATCACACCTGGAAAGATTCTCCAGGTGATCCTTATTTTCAGGTCAGTAGAGGGAATACTACCCAAGGGCCTGGGTGACTCATAGACTGAATAACCAACCTAATTCTGCCTATCTTCAGACAGAGCTCAAGAAGCCTTTCCTTTTTTTGTTTCACCCTTCCCTTTTCTCCTATTCTTCATTTGCTCATTTCCCTCTCCTCTTCATTTTGTAACAGGAGTGTAGGTCTTGCTGTGAAGGAATGATCTGCAATGTGGAATTACCCACCAACCACACAAACGCGGTCTTCGCTGTAATGCACGCTCAGAGAACGTCTGGGAGCAGCGCCCACACACTCTACCTGCCAGCGCTTGCCTGGGTCTTCATGCTTCCATTGATGTGATGCCGTTATTCCTAGGAGAGGCAGAGACCAGCATTCTGAAGCACAAACTAAAAACTGTGTAAACAGTGAACTTTTGAGCAAAGACAAATCTTGCAATTGGTGAGGAGTGCTGTTGTTTGCTTATCTAAAATGCTCTTGCATGAGGCCGTGGGATTGAGGAAGGGAATGTGGCCCGGGCTGAGGGCATTATCTGGCTTCCAGGCCTCCTGGTCAAAAAGGCTGCATTTTGTCACTTTTGCGGGAGGATCCTGCTGGCATCTACAATGGACGGGTTGTGGTAGCCTGTCTTGTCCCTGCTCGACCAGGCCTTTAGCTGAAAGGGCTCCTTGACCTCCCTGACTCCTTTAGAGGCTGCTGGCTCAGATCCTCTTATTCTGTGATTAGCTTGGAGTGTCTAGGAAATCTAAACCTTGCCCCAATGAGTAAGCAATTTCCCTGACAATGTGTAGTAATGGGAAAGGCAAGTAAAGGAGGAAAACTTCCGGTTGAACTACTATGAAACTCATTTGCTAATTGTGTGTGGGGGGAGGGGAATAAAGCTTTTAAATTATACAGTGTAAAATGCATGCTTGTGTATTTCTTGACTTGCGTGAAGATCTCAGAGGAAACACTTTTACTAGTGTCATAAAGGAGTTCATTGAAGTTGTTTTCCATGCACCTTGGCTGATATTTTCTGGCTTACAGTGTAAAATTTCATACCCAAGTGACTTACTATTTATTTTCTCTTTTGGGAAGTACACTTCTTAGGTTCGTAAATTCAAAATTAGTGAATTGAGATGGTCAGAAAATGTCCCTGATCAAGAAGGATGATGTCTCATCACATGATGTGCGCTCAGGAGTAATAGATTCAAGTCAGAGTACCTGGCGAGATGGTCCCTCTTCCCTGCACAGTCAACTTCTGTCTGAATGGCAGGGCCACCAAGAGAACCTTTGGAAAAACATCCTAAAATATTTTGTCCCCTCGTCTCTTTTTCTTTCCCTTTTATACCTGTCTCAGAATTTCAAATGAGCACCTTCTTTTTATTCCTAGAATCCTGATTTCCTGCCTTTACACTTTGGGGTGATCTTTAAACTCTGCACCCTGTATGGATAGTGATGAGTTAATGGAGTCTTTGTTTTTCAGTTGAGCATCCACCATTAGGACACCGAGCGCTCCACAGAACCCGTTAATGATGGTCTCCTTGCTACGCGCACTCGCCTGTGATGGGGGTTGGCAAATTATGGCCCATGGGCCAAACATGTCTCACTGTTCTTAGTCTGCTAGACTGCTGTGTCAAATATACTATTGAGTGGCTGAAACAAAAACTTGGAATCCTCACAGTTCTGGGTGCTGGGAAGTCCAGTATCAAGGTGCTGACAGACTGGCATCTGATGAGCGCCCTCATCCTGGTTTGCAGAACAGTTTGCATTCTTACAAGGCAGAGAGCAGGGAGAGAGCCCCATTTCCTTCATTCCCATTCGTGAAGGCTCTACCTTCATGATCTAATGATCTCTCGAAGTTCACAAATGCAAATACCATCACATTAGGAATTTAGGCTTCAATGTATGAATTAGAGTCGGGGGACAACATCTAGTCCATAGAAACAACCTATTTTTGTGAATAAAGTTTTATTGGAACACAGCCCTGTCTTTTCATTTACATATTGTCTATGGCTGCTTTCATGCAACAACAGAAGCATGAGTAGATAGATGCAGCAGAGAATGGATGGACCACAAAGTCTAAGATTTATGGCCTTGTCCTTTACAGTAAAAGTACTGACCTCTAACCTCCGAAATGGTAAACCTGCATTGGAAGGAAGCTGCTGGTTTTGCAGGGCCATGGTGCTGACGGTAGTCACAGCCTGTGCAAGTGTTTGCCACATCACTTTGCTTATTTTCTTCGTTTTCTGCATCAGTGAATTTTTCTTCTGTTTTGTTTGTTCCACTCATTTGATTCAGTCTCTTAGCAGTTATGTGCTCTTGTCAGGCTCTGGACTGTCTGTTCGTTTTTTCTTGTCTTTGATGCATTGGGAGTGTCTCAACTGAAGGCTCTTTAGCTTCCAATAACACAGGGAGGGGGCAGACATCATTATCTCCCTGTCTCTGGTTGAACCATAGAGTCACCTGGAAGCATCGGTTTTGAAGCCTGATATACATTCATCCCACTCTTCACTCAGCACCTTAAAGTGTTTGAGTTTTCATAGTTATGCTTGTTTGAAATTAATTATATGTGGCTTCACTTGGAACATTTTAATACCATTTTTGCTGTCTTTTTATTCCTCAGGGTTTCTTTTGACTGTGTAATTGATGAATGGTCTGGTAAAAAAACCATTAGCAGGCATTTCTTTCTGTTTTTGTTTCTGCTCTCTAGATAAATGAATTTTTCTTTTTGTGCGTGTGTTTTTTCTTTTCTAAGGAAACATCTTAATTTTCTCTTCACCCTCACACATCATGTTTGCATGGATTTCACTCCATAAGCATTTAAAGCAGGGCTATGTTGAGCAAAAGAGGGAACACACAGAGGAAACAAACTCCTGGCAAGGACAGCCCAGTAAGTGGGAGTGCCGGATTCCCAAATAAAGATATGGAATGATCCATTAAATATGCATTTTAGAGAAACAGCAAATAATTTTTTAAAATTTGTTCTTTGTGAACTCAAGTCTGGCTCATCTAAGGCAATATTTTCAAATTTTTTGTAATAAACCAGAATCTTCTGGATAACTTTAGAATAGTAAAATTCCCAGGGTATCCTGGAGATGTTGATCAGTAGATCTGGGATGCAGTGCAGGCCTAACCCTGATAATTGAATATCAAATAAAGAAATTTTAAAAAGCTCTCAGCTGACTGTGATATTCATACAGGCATGTTACCCTTGATGTGAAAGGGTTATTCCTTCCTCTGAAGCCCAATCCTTGGCCACATGATTGTAATGCTAATGAATAATAAGCATGTTCACAGGTAACCTGTGTTACAGGACGTGCTTCTCAAAATGTGGTCCCCGACCAACAGGATCGGCGTTACCTAGACACTTGTTAGAAATGCAAATTCTCCATTTCAGACATACTGATCAGAAACTCTAGGGGTTCAACCTGTATTTTAATAACACCTCCAGGTGCTTCTGATGCCCATACAAACTCCAGAACCACTGGACCAGAGAAATGCTTCCCAGATACTTTTAGTAAATGGGTCCCTGCTGGCCGCATGAGATCACTCATGGAGCTTGTAGAAAGAAAAGGAGGAGAAGAAGAGAAAGAAAGAAAGAAAGGAAAAAGAAAAGAAAATGCAACACCAGAAAGTTAGATTTGCTGTCTGAGTTGTGTCAGGAAATCTATATTTTTAAGAAATTCTACAATTGCTTCTGATACACAGCCACTTTCGGAGCCACTGAACTAGAGAATAAGAGATGAGCATAATGTTGGTGACCAGAAGGCCCAGTCTCTAACACTTGACCTTTGAGTTTTAATAGGAACATCCTATGCATTATAAGTTGACTCTATGTAGTGTCTCCAGATGTAATTTAAAGACTAGAATACAAAAAATAAATCCGATCATTAGAGTCTATTACATGGACTTTTTTTAGTCTATTGCATAGGGTCCTGGAATGGCCAAGTACGAGAGGCCTCAGACTAATTTAATTTGCCTCTAGTGAACAAGAAATAAAAAGCATTTTATTGTCAAAATGTCCAATGAGAATTGGGGAGTGGGTGCAGTGCAAGAGGAGAATGTAAACTTGTAAGAGATACAAGGAATTAGTTATGAACATGAGGAAGGTCTGAGGGAATGGTCTGTCAAGGGTCCATTTTGAATAGACCTGCATTCTAGAATAAACTTGGAATTCCTAGCCATCAATTATGTTCTAGAAAGAAAGAAAGAAAGAAAGGAAGGAAGGAAGGAAGGAAGGAAGGGAGGAAGGAAGAAAGAAATGGTACTGAGAACATTTTTCCCTAGCTGTATCTAAACTCTTCTAAACCCATCTCAGTGAAGTTAGCCGTCAGAAATTACAGACATTATTTTCCATATAATCTTCATTCCGTCATGTCAGTCACTGTGTAAAACATATTTCATAACAAGAGGAAAGGGGATGAGTCCATTTCTATTTGTCACTGGGAAAGAATTTATAAAGCCCTGCAAAACCTGAAATGATCAGTGTTAACCGGCATAGACACCTGAAGGTGAGGTGTGGAATCAGGGAAATAGTCTTCACGTTTGTGAAATTACTAACTCTTAGGCAAAATTTTTGTAACAGGTAGGTTTATATAAACTTTGCTCTGACCTTTGGATTTTGGTTTTATTTTTTACCTGGACCCTTTATTTGTGGAGTTTCCATCATGGTGCCAGATATGCTTGGGTACAAACTATGACAGAAGACAAAGGCCAGTTGTAGGTGCCCAAAGGTGAAAGTTATAGAAACTGAAAAAGAAATGGCTGTTATAATTTGCATCTGCTTTAGGTGTAGTGCCACTACTGTGCACCTGAAATTGTACTGTCATACTGTCTACTTTTCCCTTCGCCTTCATAATCCTGTCTCTTTCCCAGCCCCTTCCTCACTGCCTTGGCCTCTGAGCCATCTTCAGAGTAATCCAGAATAGGAGATAACCATGACTGGGCTGTGAAAAACAGGGCTTTTGCAATCTGATCCCAAATCTGCATTTTTAACAAGCATCTGATCATGATACTGGTCATTCTGATACTGGTAGTCTTTGCGCATCATTTAGAAACAATAATGCAGGGCCTCAGTGTAAGGCTGGAGATACTTAAACTGAGAGAACGATGATTCCTAAACCTCTGCCCATGCGCTTTTTGGATCAGTGAAAACTGGTCCCAGCTAAGAGGCTGGGAGTGCCTGGAGGACACTGGCCTGGAAGAGCTGCCATGTTGGGAACGATCTTGGGAAGCCTAGGACATATGGGAACTTCAGGAAACCTGGTCAGTGGGGGTGGGGGTGGGGCTCTTCCAGGCAAGCAGGATGAGCAGGGTTCTGACGACCAACTGGACTCCCTGGGAGTCATGGATGAATGAGGCTGTAAGAAGCAAAGCAAAGGCAAGGTGAGCCCCTACACAGGGGTTGCAGAGGCTAGAAATACTCTTCAAAAGAGAATAAGCAACACGGAGTAGTTTCTGGAGACATATTCTGATAAAGTTGTTGAGGGTCTGGAGGGAAGGGACCTTTTATATAGACTGCGGTATCTATTCAGGATCACTTCAACTGCAAGTGACAGAGAGCCCCAATCAAATTGGTGTTAATATGTGTATTGCCTCACAGAACTGGAAGTTCAGAGGGAGAGTAGGTTCTAGGGTGAACTTAATCCTGTGGTTTTAGCTCCGATCTCCACTATCTTTTGGCTCTCACCTCCCCCATGCCTCTGATGAGGAGATGGCTGCCGCTGTTTCATCCCGCCCACCCAGTGTCCAGGGCAGCAGGCCAGGGCTGGGGGTGGCAGGGGGGTAGGTACTACTGGTCACTCACCAGGAAGAGAAAAAGGTCTTCTTTACCCAGGATCCCAGCAAATCGCAAGCAAGATATGGTCACCCTCAGTATAATGCAGCTAAAGAGAGCTCAGCGTCCCCTCAGGCATGTGTGGTGCATGACAGCAGCTAGATATCTGAA